GGGAATTGTTCTAATTTTGTTTTGAATCATCAAGTATTTTTCCTTGTGTATTAATGTAGAAGCTGTTGTACTGAGTCTTGTCGCAGACATAACTTTTATAGAAGCTGTGTTAGTAGGAAAGCTTACTAATTGAACTTATTACTTACTACACCCCTTCGTAATCTTCAATAATTGTATGTCACATGTTTATCCCCATTTGTACTTAACTGGAAGAGAAGGAAATGTTTTTCAACTTTAGTCTCAGAGTATGAGCTACCAAATTCCAAAGGAAGTACTAGGAATGGAACATGGATGCTAATCTTAAAATTTCTATGCCATGTGAGAATGTTATACTCCAGACAGCATCAGCAGATACCTGACACTATTGTATTTGTTTGAATGAAAAATAATGCCAATAACCCAAAGACTGCTCAAGATCACAGGGATGAAATTAGTGGTAGAGCTGAGATTAGTCCAATTGGAAAATCAATACCTTAGGGTAAAATGAGAGGATAATTAATTACATGATATTAGCCTGATTCCAGAAGTGACCTAGAAGCAATCAAAAGTATGTGGGATTTTGTAACATTACATTAAATAAAAGCTTGACTGTGGAATACATTTAAATGAACATTCTGTGTATTAAAGTTCTTTCCATAGAACTAGTTGGTATTGACACCCCATTAGAAGGTTTAGGAGAGCAATAAATTTATTATAGGGATGCTTTTTGCCACTTGTTTCTAATTCTTTAATAACATAAAAATCATAAATTAATAATTTCAGTAATTTTATACCAGTTTTATGTCTGTCTAAATACTGTCTCCCTCTGTAGTGATAATTTTAGGTTAATATGTTGACAGCATGTATATCAAAATGAAATTCATCCCCCTTCTGTGTCATTGCTTTAACACTCTTTCATGCAGTGTTCACTCTCCTGCTGCTTATCTCTGCTTATCTCTGTGCTTTCTTAAGTTTTTGACTTTATAGAGGGCTTACTGGGGTCTTGGTAAAGGAAGTGCTGTGGTTGTGTATCATCATACATCTCTTAATTCATAATCTGGCTAGATTTTGCCAGACCTATTTTAGAATGGTGCCAAGGCAGTTCAGACAAACCATCTCTGTGCTTGAGACAAAAGGAGTGATGTGTATATTGTGAAGTTGTGTGGTTATGTGTAAGGCTTTGTGTGCTCTGGTGAAATGCTGGCAGATGGAAGAGTAGTAGAACAAAATCCCATGGTTATTTCTGCAGAGCAACATCACCGATAGAATTTTACTTATTGGTTTGACAGCCTGTGATCAGCAAGTCAGGAATACAAAAGGATAAGGAAAAAACTCAATCACCAGGTGTAATTGCACTTTCTGAAGTGCATATAGTATAGTGGTCATCCTGGGATTGCTGTGACAAGACTGCAATGAGATTTCCTCTTGTTGTTAACAGATAGAAATAGACCCCACATTCTTGAAAAATTATTTATTTTTCCTAAATAAGCCCAGCCAGGTCTCTGCTAAATTTTATCATGAAGTTATATAATTTTTTCATATAGGACATTTTCTTCTGCGGTGTGATTCAGAATGAAGATAATCTTCCACGCAGATTGTGTTTTTAACAAGAAGTTTTACTGCAAAGTAAATTTACACTGTAACTAAATGAATGTTAAAAGTTAGTTACACTGATGGAATGATTAAAAATGGTCTCATAAAAGTTTGAGTGTAGGGAGACAGTGCATTGACACAGCTATGACTCAAAACATATTTTTTATTTGTCCTTCTGCATCTGCTGCTATAACAAACATGCCTGCCATGCAGTCAGCTTTTATTTCTTAAGCTTTGAATTTTAGCAATGACTGTCGTAGCACTGGTTTTGGGGTTCCTGGGTCAGGCATATAGTGAAAGATTATGGGAAACTGTATTTCTATTCTTGGACTTGGGGAAGTTCGAAAAAACCACATTTCTGCTAATACCCAACTGTGGAACCTAAATATGAAAATACTCCTTCTCATCAATTGTTCTGTTGATGCTGCTTGCACAGTGGCAGCATGGAGGACCATTGGCAATAAAGGTACATGAACACCTGATACTGGAGACGAGATGACTGGAAGCAAGGAGTGGCATGAAGTTCCACAGACAGGTCGACTCAGATATAGATAACTGATGTAAGCTTAAGACAAAGATGCTAATGCTAAAGCAGAATTAGCTTTGTTGCAAAATGATTGATTACTTCAGGCTGTCAAACAATTTATAGTAAATAAATTAATGCATACATGTGCGTGTTATCTGTGCATTAACAGTAGGATTCTTTTGGATTAAAATGCATAACCCAAAAAGCTGTAAGATAGCTGAGCAAGAAATAAAACAGGCTATGATGTCTACCTCAAAGATTGATTATTTCTGACAGGCATATAAAGCAGCTGGTAGACAGGATCATTACCCTTCTGGCAATAAGGAAACAGAAACAGCGCAGTTTAGGACATTTTCTAATGCTAGCAGAAGTACATACCTAGGAATTTTGAAGATAAGGATCTGTATTTGCTTCTGTTCAGATCATTGCAGCTGTGTAAGCTTGAGTGTGGATTCTGTAAGAGTGGTCTCAGTGCTTAAAGGCATGTTGATTTCCCCATTCTCCAGTTTGGAATGTCACAGCAAGTCACATACATGTCAGAGGAAGAAACAATGAGAAGTTGTTGGTCACTCTGAGAAGCAAAGACTGGAGAAGGAAAATAGTCCTGTTTTAATTTCATATCTCAAGAAGTAATCAGGCTCCCTGTGCAGCCAGGACAAAGGTGGGGCAGAGAAAATCAGTCACCAAAATTTAGAGGTGCTTGACCAAGAGTAGCTCTTCACCTGCACAGAAGAAAAATGCCAGCATATGGAACTGAGGGATGGTGCAACCTTAGGTGAAGGACGATTACCTTTCCCAGTCCCAGCAAATGAATGAGACTGGTTCCAGATCTAGAACTTTTGTGGCAAAGAAAGCTGAATGGAAAATGTGCAACTTTCCAACTTACACCTCTGAACATACACATCCAATTTAATCTAAAAAGGGGTCAGGTTTGCTGTGTACATGAAGTTGCTGTTACAGTTTGCAAAGACTGTGTATGAATTAAATCATGGAGACTTTTTTTTCTGAGGCAATGGTAGTTCCAGCCAGGAGACTAGCTAGAAAAACACAAGGAGGAAAAGAAAATCTCAAAACCCTTGGGAATCATATTTCTGAACTAAGAGTTTTGGTAGCAGAAAAGACAGAAAATTCCAGGTTGGAAGTGTCTCTGAAGTGTCATAAGAAGTTAGATCTGCTAAAGTAGCCATCAGGGAAACGTCTCTGAAGACAGTGTTTCTTTTTTTTTCTAAATGATTTTTTCTAACTGGTTATTACTGGGTTTATTTTTATTTTCCAAGAAGGAAAATAAAATTATATTCTAGTAGTGATTAGGGTCATAAAGGAGAAAAGGGCTAGTACTTTATTTCAGTCAGGATTGTTGAGTGAATGATACCCTATGTAAGCGTGAGAGAAGTGCAAATCTGTATTTTCAAGCAGGAGCAGAAAGTCTAAAACCTTTTGACATGTATTAAAGGAAAACAGGAAGATGTTTGTGTAGAGGCTAGGCTATAGTTGAGATAAAATTATTAAATAAAAGAAAACAGAGCTACAGAACATGCTTTTATGATAAAAGGATGTTTCTTGTTGACTAGAGCAGTCAAAAAAGCTAAGTAAAATGTTTCCTTGGTGTTTTGAAAAATATAAAAGCTTTACTGGTAATATGAGCAATGAAATTAAGGAACACTTGATGATTAAGAGGATTAGAGATTTCTAGACACTGTGTTGAAAATCTTTTGATGAGGAAATATAGGAGCTTTAAGAAGTAAACTATGAAGCAGATGTGTTAGAAGATCTGTTAGAAGATCTTTACCTCAAGGAGCCTGTATTTTGTCTTCTGAAGAGAGTTGCAGAAACACCTTCTCAAAGGAACTTTTCAGCACAAAATAAGGTGCATATGGAAATCTTGTATTTCTGAAACAGCATTCTGACCTGGTTCCTGGTTCTGTTTTCTGCTTGCTTCTTCTCCCAATGACCCTCTTCATCTTTTTCTGCACAAAGCAAAGCTGACCCTATAACTTTTGTTGGATCTGATGTGGGACAGCAGACTATAAATTTATCATTCATGGAGAAGGTAAGCAAGAATGGGCAACAATATTTAGGGGGATTAGGGACAGTAACGTTTTCCCATTTTTCCTTTTTTTTTCCCCTTCTTTATTCCCTAAAGCTTAATATGATGGGAGAGTCTCTACAATCTTTTTGATGAACTTTCTGTTGCACCTTGACAATGTTCGAAAGAGGATCTCTTTTAGTGTGAATTCTTTGAACTTACCTTGTTACCCCATCTCAGTTATGTCTTGGGCACAATATACACTATGGGCTGTATTTTGGTTTAGATGTTCCCCAGAGCTTTACAAATTAAAGAAATCAAACAATTGCCAGCAGAATAATTTTACAATGTATGATGTACCATTTTTATTTGTAAGGGTTACTGTTAACTACAAGGAGCTTCACATGGGTGATTTAATTTTAACAGAAATTATTCTGTGTGATGGTGGAAAATGAAAAATTCCTTGGTTTTGAAGCCACTGTTTGAGGGTTTCACCCTAAAATTTTGTCAAGGGATTTCTTTGTTCAGCCACCCCAAAATTCATTATTTGCTATAGGAGTTACTGAAGGTTAAACTTGGCGTGAGCATTTGAAGGATTTAAAAGCACAGCATCCTGTAGATGAAATAGAGCAATAAAACCCGGCATGGTTACTGAATCAATATTATACTATTTCCTGTCTGTTGAATTCCTTCATTTATGGTGAAAAATGCATCTGTTTACTTCTTATCTTCAGTAAATATCACACCTGTTTTTTCACCCCTCCTCTTTCCTCCTCCCTCTGTATCTCCTCCCCTGTGACAGAATCAATTGCATCAGTGGATGATATATAAAGAAGAGTTTTCAGTGGAGTTGCCCAGTCACCCACCTTAGCCACCATGGGGCTAAGAGTGGCCAGCCTCCTTTTCATACTCTGGCTGGCTCTTTCCTATGCTAGTGAAATAAGAAAAGGTAAGCTCTAGAAATGAAATAGTAGCAGACTGCCTCCTGGAAAAGAGGGAGAGAATTAAAATACAGAGGTAGAAGGAGGCAGTGCATTTAAATAATGCACTTAAATAATGCAATTTTAGGATGCTTTAAATTTCTTAAGCTTTCAAATACTGAGGCAGTATGACTCAGCCAACATAGGTTGGCTTTCTTTCTTTGGAGACATTAGTTCCTATATCTACTGTGTTTATATCTAGTTTGATGTGCTTGGAAAATATTTTCCATGTTGCTTTTCTTTTGATGTGTTGAGTCTTTCCTAGGTTTGGCAACTACTTTGCAGAAAGCAACTGTAGAAGTTTGAGAGGTTCATTGTTACAGCAATGAGGGAGGTGGATGATTGTGCCTTCTGTTACTTGGAACAACATAAATTCTTTCTTCAAAAGGGAATGTAGTAACATTGGACAAAGCTAATTTTGCCATTTAGAACATTAATAATCCTGCTGTAAAAGCTCTAACTTTATTTGTTATCAATTTTGAAGTGTTAAAGTGAAACACACTGAAAACCAAAAATTGTTTTTTAGTGGAATAGGTGATGAATTTTGTCCAGTGGTCAGGTTTGGGGTATTGAGCTTGGTCTGCTGTGTCCTGAAATCAGCAATGAGAGGAAAGCATTACCTTGCATTTGATATCCCATCTGTGAGCTCCAGAAGAATCTCTGTGCAGCCCTCCATCTGGGGAGAGAAGGATAGCAGCTCGTCTGGATGTATCTGGCATGATTGATACCATCAAAGCACAGTAACCTAGAGGCTGTGTTAGCAGTTTTGCTTTCTCATAGTAAACAGTGCAAGAAAATCTTGTGAAAATGAGAGACATGTCAAGTTTCCCGTGGATACTTAGCTTTTATGATTCACCCCTAATCTACAGTACCTGGAGATTTATTAGATATTGTGTTAACTTGTATTATTAGTCAGTATAGATGGCTGGGAAGGGAATAAATCATCTTTAGTTTTGGCTATTGCAAAAACTTTATTTTTCTTCCTATCATGGTTATATCTTCTGAAGAATTTCTATTCTGTAGTAATAGAAATCACTACTGCTTTTAGGCAAAGAAATAATTTCCTAAATCTCCTGTTGTGCACAAGTCCTTTCATAATACTTAAACTATTTACCTTTTAGAGTAGGTGGTACTTTCTTGGTTTCCTAACTGTTTTTTTTCTAGTACGTGTTGATCAGATACTTGATCAGGCTTGAAATTGGTGGAATCACTGTGCACATAATTGCAAGTGATTTCTACTGTAAAATGGAACACTTACATTTTCTTACATTAGCTTGTTTATTGCACTTTTTTCATGTCTATTTCTTTTCATCACTTAACAGGAAGGACAAGAAACCACGGCCACTATGTCTGCAGCACTTGGGGAAACGACCATTTCAAAACCTTTGACGGAGACATCTACCAGTTCCCTGGCGTTTGCGAGTATAATTTTGTTTCTGACTGCAGCGATTCTTACGCAGAGTTCTCTGTCCACATCCAGCGTGCTCTGAACAGCGATAACCACCCTGAAATCCAGTATATTCTGCTAAAAATCAAGGATGTCACGGTGTACCTCAAACCAAAACTGGTTGTGGTGGATGGGCGGATGTAAGTATTTCAGAAAAACGTGCTGGGAAGATAAAAGCAGGATTGATTCTTTACACAGTTGTCTATATACCATTATGGTAACTTCTACAAAGCATTTCCACAATCCAAAAAAAAAAAAAGTCTTTTGAAATCCAGCATAAAAATTGTTTTGTGGTGGTGCTTTGGTGTTAATTGTCATTCCCACACTTGCACAAGGGATTATTTAAATGAAAGTAAGGAAGAGGTGTTTGAGTGAATTGTTCTTCCAGTTGTGCAGGAAACAATGCAGGTCATGAGCCAGATCTTTCACTGGCATAAAATGACATAGCTTCATTTGTTTTGTGGCATCACCCTGAATTTACCTTAGCAGATGGTCTAGCAAATCCTGAAAAAAGAGATGCATTTCTCTGGGGTCTTTTCCTCTTGTTTTGTGACAGTAGAGTGGCAGGTTTTTTTCTGATCTTCATAAATAATTCTTTAAGATCCAATGGCCATTTCTCAAGGGATTTTAACAGATATAACACAGGTCAAAATTTACAGTAATTTATATGTGGCAATATGTGCTTTTTCACAGTAAACAACAGTGTTTTTCTCCTTCTGTAACATGGCTACACAAGAAAATAGTCTGACAGCATTACTGATGCCAAGTACTGTCTTAACCTAGTCTTTCCTATCATTAGCCTAACCTTTCAGTGTGTGTATATATACTCACTGAAACAAGTGAGGCAACTCATAAGTTAGGATATAGGTCTGAAGATTCTGAAGAAACTGGCTATTAATATGTTTTAGCATAATTTAAACAAAAAAGAATCTATTTTATTGCCATTGTAGGACTTGGTTTAGCCAAGATTTCAACTTTTGCTCTAAAGTTTGGAAGCCACTAGAATGAAAATATGTTCAAAGGTTGAAAATAGCATCCAGTTTCCCAAAAATCATACCAGAATGCATAAAAAAATGACAGAAATATTTAAAAAATGCATTGTTTCCCCAACTTGAAAAAACTTTTTATTGGGTACTTGGGTCTTGAACTCAATAAAAAACAAGTTTAGAAATCCTTTAAAAATTGCTTCTTTTAAACCTCTTTTTGTCTTAGATAGTGTTCATAAAACAATGGTTCATTTCTGAACAGGTTTTTGCTGCCTGGGGAATTTAGTTTTTTTAAAACTGAATTTTCCATATTGATCTTTAAATGATACATGATCCATTATCATGTAAAATAGCATTTCACAGTACTAAAATGAAAAGTGTAAAGTAGAAAAATGTATGAATTTGCCTTAGGGTACCTGATCCACTGATTGAGTGAATGTCCTAGAATTAGAAAAAAAGATAAATATTCCATGCAGTGGTAGCTGAAAGGTGAAAAGATGCCCAATGTTTTATAATCCCTCTTGAAAAATGTAATCTCTCAAGAATTCATTACCCAGAGGATGAACAATGCATTCAAAAGTAGAAATAATTGTTTCTGTGTTTGCACCTGGTATTTAGATGTGTAAATCATTTGGCCATGTTAAAAATGTGTGAGGTAAGTAGTTGGAAAAATCCCAGTGACAGGAATTCTGGAGATAAAGCTCTCCCAGTCAAGAGACTAGTTAAGAGGAGATGTGCATACACATGCATGAATCCTGATGGATAGCAATTATATTGACAAATCTGTAGAAAATAAACCAGTTATTTTGACTGGATTTCACTTTACACTACTTCTGTTGGAACAGACTCTAGTTCTCTAGATTTTATAGGATGAGGCTGCTTGCCATAATCCCTTTATTGCTGAATGAAATTCAGCAGTTCAGTTTGATTTGTAAGACAGACATACAAAATCAGGAGAGAGATCTGGTGAATTGATTCTTTATCACACAAAAGGCTATGCTCAACTCTCTGCAAAGTATGTTCTGTCACCATTCTGTCAACCAAAAACTAAGTAACTAACTACTGAAATAACTACTCAATTCCTCTTAAAATGCTCCTTTGTTTTCAAAATTTTGTTGGCAATCCCTGTATCTGCCTGTGCTTTTTGAACTCTTTTGAGGAGGAAGTTCTTTCCAAAGGAACAATCATTGTCTCTGAAAGGGTTATCAGATCTTTTGGTAAAGAAAAGCTTTCATTTATGTTGTAGCTTCCTTCAGGGAAGTAAATTTTTAGTGAGTGTTTGAATATCCTCTGTTAATAGCACAATGATGATGGATTTTCCTTTGATTAAGTTGAAGACATCTGACATTTTGGTTTTTTCATCAAAGGACCTGTACCCTTGGGTAAGCTTTGCCTCTGAAATAGCTTTGCCTTTTAAAGGCAATGAGTTATTGTCCCAAGTGTTGGAGAGAGGTATTTTATGCCTCATTAAAACAAGGCATCCTGTGCAGCCAGGATGAGGTAGTCAGAGGCTGGTTTCTCTGTTCCTTAGGGTATTTGGCTTATTACAGACATTCATGTCAAGCCTTATGTTTCTGAACTAATGTAAAATCTCTAATTTTCTTCCTAGTGTGAAGACACCTTACTACAGCTCTGGTCTGCTCATTGAGAGCAGTGACATTTACACCAAAATTTATGCCAAATTAGGCATGGTTCTGATGTGGAATCAGCAGGATGCACTGATGGTAAGTTTAATCAAAGAACTTTTTATTGTTGTTTCCTGGGATATTTCTCTATCCCAGTAGAGGAAAAAAAAAGGAGGAAAAAAAAAGAGAATTCTTTTATGTTTTTCCTCTTTCTTTCCATTACTTAGGTGGAGCTGGACAACAAATTTAATAACCTAACCTGTGGTCTCTGTGGGGATTACAATGGAATTCCAATCTACAATGAGTTTATCAAGGGAGGTGAGTCATTCTACCATACTGACAGTTGTCACAGAACACAGGGTGACAAGCATTGTACATAGAAGCATCACAGGAGAGCAAATTTCACTTGAGAGATTTCTGTGATTGCTCCAGACTAAGCATCATGTTCCAGTGCTGCATTCCTAGTCTAAGGTTATTTTATTCCAGATGAATTTTATTGTTCTTTTCTCGACTAGCCTTCTTTTCTTTCTTCCCCTTTACATTTTCAAGCATGGTTAAACACAATTCAGAGCAGATACTTGTGTCTGACGTGTGTTTGACACCATAGTAATTGTTTTCCTTGATCAGAAGAATCCCATGAATCAGATGCAACTTGTGGTCAATTTTTGGGGCTCAGCAAGTTCTCCAAATTTTTTTCTCATAGATGCAAGCTACAATTCAATTACATATGGGAATTTGCAGAAGATCAGCAAACCCAATGCCAAATGTGAAGATCCAGATGAAACTCAGGCTCTTCCAAGCTGTAACGAGCATGTGAGTATTCCTGCTGGTGAACTTCACTTGCATGGACACATCCTTGTGCTACTGGGAGTTAGCTGCAAGGAGCTTGGAAGACTGTCCACTCCAGGGCAAATGATTACTTTTCCTTTCTTGAATAACTGTTCAGAAGGCAACAGTTTTTATACAAGATAGGAAGTGACCAGAAGCTCAGATGTTTACAAATCTCTCAAACATTATTACTCTTTCTCCTTAGCGTGACGAGTGTGAGAGGCTGCTGACTTCCTCTGCATTTGCTGATTGTCGGTTCCGTCTTAATTTGGAAATGTACATCCAAGCCTGCATGCAGGACAAGTGTGCCTGTAACGGCACTGAGGACTCCTTCTGCATCTGCAGCACCATCTCTGAGTATTCTCGCCAGTGTTCGCACGCCGGTGGCCGGCCGGGTGAATGGAGGACGCAGAACTTTTGCCGTAAGCAACGATACAAATTTTGCAAAGACCCAAATATTTCATGGATATAGAACCACGAAACATTTAAATTCATTACTTCTTTACAAAACCATTGGCGTATATTATAAATTTCATTCCAGGAGTACAATAAGTTACATATTGTGTTCTCCCTCTTTTTTTTCTTCTATTACCCTTGTTGTTAAGAAATCTTTTTCAGCAAGCAGAAATTCAGTTCCCATTGTAAGACTGAGAGGGCTGATACTGCTGATGACCGAGATAATTTGATCTATTTGAAACCAAAAGAAATAAATGTATGAAACAGGGAAAGCACTTCAGAAATAGATGAACATGCTTTGCCAGGTGGAATCTGGCTTGAGACATCACTGGCTTGAGAGGAATAGGGTATATGATCTGTGGTTTCTGAGGGATTATGGATATTCCACTCAAATAACTCCTGGTGTCTTTCTTATTCTTTCAGCCAAGACCTGCCCTGATACCATGGTCTATAGAGAAAGCAGCTCACCCTGCACGGATACTTGCTCACACTTGGACATCAGCAGCCTTTGTGAGGAACACTACATGGATGGTTGTTTCTGCCCTGAAGGCAAGTGTTATTCTACCTATTGTGTGTGGAACAAAACCAAGAGCTCTGGCAAAGAAGATCATAGCTAAAATATTAAATATAGTCAAATTCTATCTTAAAAATGAGTACTACTCTCCTTATTTTCCCCTCTAGGGGAACATAACCATACGATTTTTTTGAGGCAGTCATAATTGATTAATTAATCAATTATTTTATAGTTCGAACATATTAACACAATGACATGTAGTAAATCTGCTTTTTGATTCTCAATAAGTGAACTTCTGATAATATATAGAAAATCAACCTTTTTAGGTTGAATAATTCTGAGACAAAGGACATAATTTACCAGAGTGTCAATTAGGGACTGAGATTGAAATTCTCAGATTTACTGTCAGCCTTGGGAAAGATTACAATGATAGTCTTCAGAATATGCCAGAAGGACTGAAAATCTAAACATATAACATTCTGAGATCGTTCCTGTATACTTACAGTAAGCTTTTTTATCTGTGTATAGTTCTATAAATGAATAGATTTGGATTTTCAAAGGTGGATAAAAGTGTTTTTCATGTGTCTTACATTACAAAAAGTAGAAACACTATTCTTCACAATTTTGATAAACTCAGCGTGTGGCAAGTTGAGAGTTTCTCCTCTGTGGAAATTGCTTGTTTCAAAAAGAGCTGGAATAGTTAATGTTGTGTTTTATAGGAACTGTGTATGATGATATTACTGGAAAAGGCTGTGTACCTGTTAGCCAATGCTACTGCAAACTCCTTGGAAAGCAGTATGCACCTGGAGAAAACATTTCCAATGAATGTGAAGAATGGTAAGGATCCTGGTTGTGAATACACTTTTCTGTGAATGATTGTAAGTGGGTCGGTGTTCTTCAAATTTCCACTTGATCATAAGAGACATCCTGAAAACATTCTGAACCTGATGTTTATGTTGCATGTCTGTAGAATCAAATTTCTGAAAAGTTTTCTTGAATCTATGGAATATGCCAGGGCAAATCATAAGGAAATGGTCAAAGATACAGTTTTAAACAACCTGGGGATATCTTGCTGTTTGCTAGGTATACTGATGCTTTCAGTGCTCTCAGCTCCTGTAATACCTACAAGCATTTTGTTTTTTATTATTTCTCTGCTTATAGCACCTGTAATTCAGGCAGATGGACGTGCAAAGATTTACCTTGTCCAGGCACATGTTCAGTGGAAGGAGGTTCCCATATTAGGACCTTTGATGGGAAGAAATACACCTTCCATGGAGACTGTTACTATGTATTGGCCAAGGTACTGTGTACTGTAGGGCTGTTCTCTTGTAGAGTATATACAAGTGTCTGTGGGCTGATATGTAACAACTGTGAGTTATTGTTTTGTTTCATGGGGGTAAGGGAAGCAGAAATGCTCTAAGTTGTGCTATAAAGTTCAGGGTTGGCTATAATAGCCCTAGGGGGAAGCTGGGGACTTATTGCAGTGGGTGATTAACTCAGTCTGATAGCTATGCTGTCATTATCCAGTGGAGTCCTTTGTGTATCAAAAAGTCACTCTGGCTACATGGACAGGTAAACTGCAAAAATTGGCAGATCTCAGGATCAGAAATTCTCAGTCAGTTCTGTAATAGCTGTTTCTCTGTCTGAGTATTGAAGTCAGCTAGGGAAATGAGGTAGGCAGCTATTTCATTCATCTGTCCCCCAAATATCTAGTGCCTATTCTTCTAGAGAGTGGCAAAAATCTTGTTGAACTAGAAACCATGCCTCTGAATTTGTTTGAAAGAATGTTCAGCTGTAAGAGCTAGTGCTGACATGGTGGTCTTAATAGCTAAGGTCTGTAGCAAAGTTATTGTGACAGATAAATTTAGTTTTTGTTTGGAAGTAATCTCGTGAGATTTTTTGATTGGACTAATGGACATTTATTTCCCTGTGATTGTAGGATACTGCAAATGACAGTTATGCTCTCCTGGCAGAGCTGACTCCCTGTGGCTCCACAGACAGGCAGACCTGCTTGAAGACTGTTGTGCTGTTAGTGGATAACAGAAAAAATGTAAGTTTTGTTCTATGGGTTCTGCTAGATATGTTGAAAATCAGCATATTTCCCTTATTGTGGAGGAACAGTTAATTCTTCTGGAGTTGTTATTGTGGATAGATAAGGCACCTCAGACAGGCTAAAGAACAACTCAGGTTTCTGCCCCGAGAATCCAAAATAGACCTAAACTTAACAAAAGGTGAAATTCAAAACAGCTGACATTTTCCCCTCTTCACTCCTCTGCTCTGTGCTATATGATTATTCTCACAGTATTCCAGATATCTGGAAGCGCAAGAATCCCATTCTTCTTCCCCTCACAGTATTTTACTTTATTCAGATATAGTTTTATAGATATTTTTCAGAAGAAATCCTGTCTTTGAATGTTGATACAGTGCAACCTTCTCAAATATTCAATTTAGTATTCTGTTTAGTTGTGGTAATATATAGATTATATTTATACATAATTTTACACACATGTACACATAATTTTCCTCATGTATTTCTGGACTTCCATGTCTTTGCCAGCATAACTAGAACAAAAGAAAACTGAATCAGAAACCAATAATTTTATGTTTCTGTGTGTACAGACTAACATTTTATGAGGAAGTTTAATAAACTGCTTTCTGACCATGCCGGAATCATACTAAACCATTTCACTGAAGCTGTGGCACATGCTTTTATAAGGAATAGGAACTTGCTACAGATCCTGAAGACCTAATATTTTCTTTTACTTGCTGAAACCAAAGTGCCCAATATAAATGAGTTTTATATTTCATTACTGTTGTAGGCAGATGTGAGCGAAACACTGAATAGCAAGACAAAACTGTACTTGTATCCTACAGGTCTGCTGCCATTTAAATTTTCAGATGGTTTCTTCTTTTCAAAAGTTTAAAGTTCTAGTCACAGCCTAAATGTGCAGAAGGCCTTTCTTGTTAATTTACCTTTTATTAGTTCCTTTTCCTCTCAGTACTTGGAACCTCATTGATTCTATTTGCCATTGTACAGGTGGTGGTTTTCAGATCCGATGGCAGTGTGCTACTGAATGAGATGACAGTGAATGTGCCTCATGTGTCAGGTAAGTGACACAGCCTTGTACGTCCAGTCACACCTGACTTCTCATATAGGAATGGGTTTTTTCCTAGGCAAAAGTGGAAGAGTGGCATAGGAAATTTATTCAGATTTGGTAATAAGTTGGGGATGAATGTGATTTAATAGACATCTGAGGATTTAATGGGATCACTGACTCTGTATAGAGTGGATGACTGAAAAAAAGTCCTTTCACTTTTTTCGTACCTCTTGAACATACTTTGGCACGTAGCTTGGGAAAGAGGAATTGCCATGACAGAAAGTTAAAGCAGATAATTTACCTTGCCTGTGAAGAGAGATATTTAGCACTTCCCAAATTTGGCTACATGGTGTGGGTATGCCATTTGGTTCTGATGCCAGAGAAGAGTCACTACAGGTAATCAGCTTTTTAAATTAGTGAGGACCATCATCATATCTAGTAGGCCAGTGATTTTTAAAGGAAAAAAAAATTATTAATTTGATCCTGGTCTCAGAGTTTTCATGACAGGTGATACCTTAAAATCTAATAAAAAGTATTTCTTCTGGCAGCTTGTGTGTGTATTTACTGCACAGTTCATGTTTTGTTTTTCAGCCAGCTTCTCAATATTCCAGCCATCTTCCAACTACCTTGTTGTACAAACACCTTTCGAGCTTCAGGTGCAGATCCAGCTAGTTCCAGTCATGCAACTGTTTGTGACTGTGGATCAATCAGCTGAAGGAAAAATTCAAGGCAAGTGTCTATTCAAAGAGGAAGCAAAGTCATGCTGTTCCACAGCTGAAGATTCGTGTACTCTTTACATGAGAGATAACTCATGCTACTTGTTGATTCAAGAAGAGGAAACTGAAAGCAGAAACCAAATCATTGAAAGCAAATGGACTCAAGCAAACTAGAAATGTGTTTTTAGTTTTTCACATTGAAATGATCTATCACTCTAGTACCAGCACACAGATATTTCTTAGAATATTCCTTGCTTCTATATTCAGTTTAATTTTAACTATACACAAAAACAGGTTTTTGGTGCCTTTTGTGTTTTCAGTATCATCAGAAAGTGTAAAATTACAGGTTGAGGTGGTAATCTCCTGAGGCAGAGATATCTTCATGAAGACTATTCTTCTCAAGAGGTTGAAGATTTAAAATAGGCCTCCTAAAACTTCAGTATGTGTCATTTGCATCAGTATTGAGGTGGAATAATCAGCTGTATGAACTTCTGTTTCTAGTGTTTGTGACCAGTTGTCCCTTTTCTTTGACCTTTTATTATGAGAATGAGTAATGATTATGTAAAATTTTTACCTTCTTTTCCAATAGGTCTTTGTGGAAACTTTAATGGAATGGAAGGTGATGATTTTAAAACAACCAGTGGGCTGGTAGAAGCTACAGGATCTGCCTTTGCGAACACATGGAAAGCTCAGTCCATCTGTACAGACCAGGCAGAAAAGCTGGAAGACCCCTGCAGTCTCAGCATTGAAAGTGGTAAGTAGATGAATAAGTCAGATGGTTGGCTTTTGCCAGAATGAGCAGTGTTTGCTGGATATTACTGCAACAGGCAGTAATTTTTAGATTAATATCTGCACGTATGTTCACATACAAGCACTCATTTCCCATCAAACTGAAGTGAAAGTTTAAGGGGTGATTGTAGAAGGGTCCTGAGCCGGAAGATTGGGAAGCAAGATCGTTAATTTATATTATTTGTAAAGGCACTTGTATTTCCTAGTATTGTTTATCATTATGTTTAACTCAACTTCAGGGTACTCAAATGGAAAGGGCTGTCACAATTCTATGTAAACCAGTTACAGCAGTGGGATACAGGTTTTGATTTTATTATTACATGTTTCTGAATCAAAGAACAGAAATATATGTGCAATGATTGCATGTAGTTCCTTCACTCCCCAAAATGCACAGTTTTCTAATTTGTATTGTTACACTGCATTTATGTATCAGCGTAACTAGACGTGGCACAAGCGAGATAAGGAAATGTGATGAATTTCTCTTTTTTTTCCAGCAAATTATGCTGAGCATTGGTGTTCTTTGCTGAAAAACCCAGAAGGTCCTTTTGCAACATGTCACTTAGTCATTGATCCTTCAGAATACTATAAGGTATTGTAATCTTGCACGCTTTTTAGTACTGCATTATTTCAGATGGTTAACTATAGACATTTAACATTGTTCAAATGTTTGAGACATTACCCAGTAGCTTGCCCATAAGTGCTGGTGAACTCTGCATTGATTGACTCAAGCAGCATAGCATGCATATAAAGTATCTCCTCTGACGAGATTCTTACAGGGTGCTGCTGAAGTTTGCTTTCTTATATTTTGTATTTAATGAACATTTTTATTGGATTGGATATTTGAACTGAAAAGAAGATTCAAGAGATGCAAATGTGCACTGACTACCCTTAAACATTAGCTGCTATAAAGTCATGAAAAAAAAGTTTCCTATATATTGGTTGGAATGTAACACCAAATCATTTTCATGCCAGAATCTCCATGATTTTTTTCCCCTCTGCTCGTCAGTGTTGAGCATAAGTGAGGCTTACCTAAGGAAAAAGAAGAAATACCTAAGTTATTTCTTATACTTAGAACTCAGTCTGAGCTCAAATGTTGTGAAGATATTCAAAGATCTGGTTAATATTTTGCCATTATGATTTCTAATTTTTGTGGATCTCTGCATTTGTAATTTGTAACTGAGAAAGAACAGTATCAATATCCTTTGAAAAAGGTGTTGTCAGGAGGCTGGATATTTTTTAAAAGTTCAAGAGGCTTGGCTTAGGTTAGAAGTAAGCATCCAAACATTTTCATTGTGTATGAAATAAAGCAGCACTTTCAGTCTCTGGTCTTTGTCCATTCCTTCCATTGTTCTCTGGTCATGGGAATTAATAAACAACATCAGGAAAAGTACACAAGATATTTTGTAGCAACCCAGTTGCAATTGCCCATTGGTTTCCTGTGAGCTTACTGACTCTTTCGTTCTTTTTTTCAGAAATGTAAATATGACACATGCCTCTGTGAAGATAATGAAGAATGCTTGTGTGCTGCCCTGTCCTCTTATTCGAGAGCCTGTGCTTTCAAAGGAATCATACTGGAAGGCTGGAGAGACAGTGTCTGCAGTAAGTAGTGGAACTGTAATCCCCGTGGAATTAATTAGCCATGAGAAACAAGCAGGCTCTCTCTGAATGTGGTTGTTAGTGATCTCAATGTTACGGGATTTGGAGTATCTTAGAAACATCTAATGGACCTAAAAGAGACAATGTTTATAATGTTTACTAATTCATATTATATTCTTTAGCTGTAATTTGTTCATGATATATTTAAAAGTAGAGAGCATTATTTTTCACTTTCACCTTCTTTCCCTAGTTTAAGTAATAATCTCATTTCTTTGATTAATGGAATCCCAGCCATCAGGGCTTTTATGTTGCCTTTGTTTATCAGTGTCTTTGTTTATCATCATGCTAGCTTTTCATCAACAGTGTGGTATTGTTGAGACTAGGAGCTTATTATATTGTGCTCTCTCTCTCTGATTATCAGTATGTGAAATAAATAGAGGTATGAAAGAAACTATTAGTGACAGTTAAAAATAAGTCTTCGACTGGTAAAGTTAGGTTAGTGTTACTTGTCACTTCTTATATTTTTGTACTTTAATAAAATCTAAGGGAATTTTTTATCTTTATATACTGCACAACCAAGGAAACCAAAATGGAAATGTCAAGGCTAAGTTGTCCATCCTGCATCTCTTATTTATCATTTTGTTTATTTTCCCTCCAGGCAGTGAAGTGTCTGCCTGTCAAGGAAATCAAGTCTTCCTTTACAACATTACAAGGTGCCAGCAAACCTGCCGTTCCCTTGCTGATAGTGAAAAGTATTGCTTGCAAGACTTTGCTCCTGTGGATGGCTGTGGCTGCCCATCTGATACATACCTGGATACACAGGATAACTGTGTGCCCGTCTCTGAGTGCCCATGTTATTACAAGGGATCATACCTGGAACCTGGGGAATATTTTACAAAAGATGGAGACCGCTGGTATGTTTTATTGTGGCTTCTTGTTTGTTGGGATAAAAGGCTTTAAAAAAATTGCTTATTAGGTGTAAGGTGCTTAGCTTTTTTGGTACTTAATGAACATTTGTAATACATTTCACAATATCTTCATGCCGAGCAAAGTATTATGCTTTTGCAATTTAATTTATCAATAATTGAGAAGTGCAGCTTGCTTTGGAGGCCTTCACAGATAAACATTACTTTGAAGCTGCACTGTTAATAGGGCTTTGTTAAGCAGAGGTGTGAAAAGAAGAAAAAAGGCCAACTATGTGTTATGTTGCTGTTTCCTTTTCTGGCAGAGACAGAACACTTGTGTTTTCTGTGGGAGGAAGATCCCCTTGATATGTATTTAGTATAGCATAGGCTTTTGAAAACAACTTTCACGATTCTGTTGTATTTTGCCACGAACCTTGGCAATTGTTTGCTGCCTGAGTCATTGGTGCAAACTGTTATTACCTTCTCTCACCCAGGAGAAGCAGCATACAGGCCAACAAATTTGCAGCATGTGACTTGAATAGGCATGAAAATACACTGTGTATCCAAATGAAGTCTTTGATTTAAGTTCTCATTCTTATCTGTTTCATTATTATCTATTTCCTGAGCCATCAATAACTGCAATATTAAGGATTAATAAAGTGGCTGTTACTCCTTAAAACACAACCTTTCTGTGCATTAGACCTAAAATCTTGCTACACTTTTTGTCCAAGTGAAAATTCGTGACTGTGTTTCAATAGAATTGACTTGAAATATCAGTAGAAATTATGCAGAACATCTTTGATAAATACTCTCAAATTTATATAAACCAATCCTTAGACTTAAGTTGAAGACACTGAGCTTGTTTGGTTTTTTTTTTAATTTCTACTTACTTCACTTTTTTAGTGTTTGCCGAAATGCAAAGGTCCAGTGTACCTCAGTGAGAATAAGAATGAAAAGTAAGTGACATTCTATAAAGTAAAATAAAATAAAAACCGTAACCAACCTTCAAAACCAAACTACTTTCCTTTTGAATTCTCCACTTACTTGTTTTATATGTTTTTTTCTATGTAAAACGTTACACATTTTCACTTTGTTCTCTCTTCACTGAGCCTCTTTTTTTTCAAAAGGATAGAGCATGTGCTGAGATTTCTGTCTCAGTAACTACCATATTTCACACACATTTCTTTTGCCTTTTCTTGACTGATCTAAGCCAACAATATACCTTTCAGGTGTAGAAGAATGTTCTTCTAACAAGACTTTCTTTGACTGCGATGCATCCTCAAAATGGACTTCACAAACACCTGTACAACTTAGCTGTCATACCTCTCAAACAAATCATGTATGTATTCAAGTTTTCTTCAGGTCATGTTTTCTTTATTCTGTATTCTCTAAATGACAGAGTGCTACATAGAAAATACAGCTGTAACTAACAGTTTATTTCTCTTTGGTTTAAATCTTCCGTTTTTTCTCCCCAATGATGTTAATCTGTTGCCATTTTCATGATGAATCCCCTTATAGTTTCTCTCTCCTCTTTCTTTTTACTGTGTCTTCAGTAGAGTTGTAACTCCCAAGGGAAATAGGATTTGGGTTCTTAGACAACCAAAATAGAAAAGAAAAACATTACCAACCTAGAAAGAAGAACCTTATAAAACTAATAAATATTAGGCTGTTTGGTTATAAATGCAGTTTTTAAAGTGTGCTTGTGAAGAAGGGGAATTAAAATGCAGTACATTATCATAAGGTAACCGTTTCTCCTTATATTCTTTAGTTCCAGGCAGAGTGTGTCTCAGGCTGTGTGTGTCCTGAAGGTCTATATGATGATGGCAGAGGAGGCTGTGTTGAGGAGGAGGACTGCCCATGCATTCATAACAACGAGTGGTATTCTTCTGGACAGAAGATAACAGTGGACTGCAACACCTGGTAAATTATAATTTTGAACTCTCTTCTAGAATATATTCTATACCATGTATTAATAGTCATGTCTAGGCTTATGTATTACAGTGGCTGCGAAAACTGCAACTATCATCTTTTATTTTCAGGAATATTTATTGCTATCTGAGGAAACACAGATTCTGCTGAAAATACTGGGGCAGTAGCTACCTCTGTTTTCAGTAGGCATCTGGTGTTGGGAAAATGCACTCATTTTTTAAATATAAATGTTATCTAAAGACCTAAAGATCTTTAGCTGACCAGAGTTAAAAATCATGTTATAAGCTTAAAACCAGGCAAAACTGTTGAAATTGAGACTTGGATATTTTGCACATTATCATATTGTATTAGGCAGCTGCTTGGTTTGTTTTGCAGTTTTCCAAATGGTCGACTCTTGGTGATACCTAAAAATTCAACTTCTCTGCTCTTTTCTAGTACCTGCCAAAAAGGGGTTTGGAGCTGCACTGCCAATGAGTGCTATGGGACTTGTATGATATATGGAAGTGGCCATTATATCACTTTTGATGGAAAATTCTATGACTTTGATGGGAATTGTGAATATGTGGCTATTCAGGTAATGCTCATCAGGAGGGCTGAAATGGCATTTGATTGCCTTGAAGATCTGCTTTCCTCTTTGGTTTTGTCATTCTTTATTGTCTGCCATCACTTTTCCTGAGGTGTTCACACATTCTGCTGGGAGAAATTGTATATTTCCAGTACAGGCAGGCTGTGTGAATGTCACTTTTTCTTCTCATATAGTGGTCATAAACTATATGTAACAGAACTGTTTTATAGTGAGAGCTAACAGCTCATTATCAGTTGCAAAATAAATCCAAATTCTAAGTTTAGAAACCAAAGATACTTATATTTAAAAATATGTTTGTCAGTTTGTTTTATTGTCCTACTTGCTTTCCCAGGCCAAGACACTGTTTATATGTATGCAGAGAAATCTGTGTATGTGACTGTGAGTCTATAAAAATATATGTATATAGGATCTCACATTTGAAGCAGCAGTAATGATTTGTACATTGTGAAGACTTAAATGATTGTAATTATTATGACATTGAACTAAAATGAAATATTCTACCTAATTTTCTCATGCTTATTTTTTTCTTTTTCAATAGGATTTTTGTGGTGACAAAAATTCCAGCGGCTCATTCAGCATCATCACAGAGAATGTCCCTTGTGGAACTACAGGAGTCACCTGCTCAAAAGCTATCAAAATGTTTCTAGGGGTGAGTAATGATACTCAATAAGTATATATCAGTATTCAAGTATTACCAAAAAAATAATGCTCCAAAGCCACATCCCTAAAAGCAGCTGTAACCAGTGTTAGAGGCCATATCAAATTAATCTGTAAAGGTGTAGATTCTCAGGTGATTAAACCTCTCACAAACACAGGTGCTACACCACTCGTCATCTTGCAAAGTCATCCCAGACTTTGAGCTATTAGTGTCAGAATGAATTGTATTGTTATGAGTGTCTAATATTTTCTCTCATCATAAAAATTACTGTTACAATATTTCTCCTTTTATCTTTCAGAAAACTGAACTGAAATTGGAGAACAAAGAGTACAAAGAAATTCAGCGAGATGTTGGTGATGATGTGCTTTATTGGAACAGGACAGTAGGCCTCTACCTCGTTATTGAGGCTAGCAATGGTGTGATGCTTATCTGGGATAAGAAGACTACTGTTTTCATCAAGCTGAGCCCCGATTACAAAGTTAGGACCTGTCTGTCTTTTTCTGAAGTAGTATTACAAATAGATAAGGAAACATTAATATTCTTTTATTCTGACTCCCTGTTCAGTTTCTATATCCTCTTCACATTGATTAGCTTGCATTATTACTACCACAACTTACAGAGGTGCTACTGGGGTTTCTTACAGTCTATCACAATGCATTGCAGAGAATGCATAGGATATTATTGCAGTAGAGCTGAACATCTAACACACTCTGAGTTTGTGAACATTGATAACCAACCATCTAAAGTAATTTAGGGATGCAAACTGACAGGACAAGCACTTGGAAACCTACATGCAATCTCAACCCTGTATAAAAACCGAACTCCCTCTGCATTGTATGAGGATGGTTCTGGTTTCTGAAAATCAGCATGTTGAATTGGAGAGTATTGAGGCATTGTATAAACAGGGATGTACTATATCTTGAGAGGCTGATGGACCTTAAATAGCTCTACCAAAAATTCGCTACTGAGGGTAGATTGCGAAGTGCTTTCTTTCAAGTAAAAGGGGTCCCTGTAATTTCTTTTCCATGGATGAGGCAATAGTGCTCGTTATGTTAGAAGCTTTTTAAAAAAACAGTTTTGAGCTGAATTGAATTACCTCAGACTTATATTAATAGCTGAGCTATGATAAATTGAGAAGAATGGAAAATTAATTAATTCTTCTCAGCTGAAAAAGACTTGGCCACTCTTTAGCATTTTAAGTGGATATGGAGACAGAGATATGGAATGTATACGCTAGATATAATTGGTTTCAAGGAGGGAAGACATGGCAACTGAATAGTTTGCTGAGTACACAGACAAATAAAAATTTATTTTCTGTACAAATGATTTGGGAGTAAAGATGAAAGTCATCATTTACACAGACAGTCAGCCGTCATCTTTAATGTCAATGTTTTGCTCTTACTTTACCAGAGCCTGTTTCTCACTTCCATGGTATATTTAAAAACTGTGGATATGTCAATTTTCTTTTCAAGGGCAAAGTGTGTGGTCTGTGTGGCAACTTCGATGACAAGTCAAACAATGACTTTATAACAAGGAGCGGACTGCAGGAGACCAGTGCTCTGAAGTTTGGGAATTCCTGGAAACAGTCTCCCATGTGCCCAGATGTCACACAAGAGATTAAGCCTTGTGATTTGAAACCACATCGGAAGTCCTGGGCAGAGAAAGAATGCAGCATCATCCTGAGCGAAGTCTTCAAAATTTGTCACTCCAAGGTTTGTAGAAGGAAGTAGCTGATGGGACAGCACAGTGCATTTCTGTTACTGCAGCAGCAGAGAGACCATGAAAAATTAATGAAGAGATGGTTATTATGAATTAATGAATAGAGGGATCTTTAATTAAGTCTTCAGTACAGCTACAGGTGTTAGCACATTTCACCTAGCCTTAGTCAAAGTAGGCTGAGCCTCTGTGGCAGTGGGACTGTGTCAGTGGTGGTGGCAGCCCCAGCTGTACAAACCCATATTCATCACCACAGTTTCACTGCTACTGCTTTGCAAGTCAGCTTCATAAATCTACCCTGTGTCATGTTTGCTGCAGTTGCACCATCTCTTGTTGAGAGACAGTCAGTATTATAAGTTCTGAAAGATCTTATGATCATCACACCCATCTCCTGACAGAAATGCATACTATACTTGAAAGGGTGCTGGTGAAGAGTCTACTGCTTCTTGTAGTATTCAATCCACAGAAAGGATCTCCTTGGAGACCACTGACATCATGCAGTTTAGACAGGCAGCTGCTGGTACTGTGCCTCCAAATGGCCATAGCATACACAGTTTGTTCTTAACTCATAGTAGAAAGGTCACGAATAATTGTCAATTTATTTAACTTATTATATGTTTCCACTTCAGCAGCTAAAATCCAGTCTAAGTTTCTCCTCTTGCAGTCCCAAGCAAAAAAATGCCTTGCTAATTTGTCATTAGATAAACTCTAAATACTGACAAGCACAAAATTATCTGCTTCATATTTGCTGTGTAGAGCAGCCTTTCTGACATCGCTCACCACTTGTTTGGCAAAGATTGCTGAAAGATAAGAATTCACTGGCATCTATTCAAGTTGGATTTGAGAGCACTAAAATGGAACTCTGTTAGAAAATGTGGGCACTGTCAAGGACTCTTATTTTTTTCAGTCATAGCAAATTATGAAGGTGCTGAATTTTTTAAGTCTATTATTACCCAAAATATATTGAGCAGCTTCAAACCTGTAAATGTTTGTTTGTGATTTGGTAATTCTTAGAAACGGTCTCATTTCTACTCAGCTGAATTCCCATGTCTCAAGAGCTCTTAAACTTACTTACTTGAAAACTAATTTGGAGATGAACTGGGGCATAATTTCTTTCCCCAACAGGTGGACCCAGTTCCTTTCTATGACGCTTGTGTTCATGATGCCTGCTCTTGTGACAGCGGTGGAGATTGTGAGTGCTTCTGCTCTGCAGTTGCTGCTTATGCCCAAGAATGTACCAAGGTTGAGGCCTGTGTTTTCTGGAGAACTCCTGATATATGCCGTGAGTAACAGTTAAACACAAATGCATCTTTCTAGCTGCTGTCAGAAAGTCAGTCAAATAAATCATTAATACTATTGCTGCAAGGTCATGCTGCCTACACAATGAAATTTATTTTCACAGCATATCAGGGAACAAACAGGACTAGTAAATTTGTATATTTCAGTTGTCTTTTATTCAGCCGGGCTTCTTTCTTTTTCCCCTTTTCCCATTTTCACTTTTCCCTCTTTCCCTTTTCCCCTTTCTCTCTTTTCCACTTTTCTCTTTTTGATTTTCCTTTCTGTTTAAAGTCATCCTTCCAGTTGATATTTGGTGAACTGCAACTCCCATTATCTTTTTCCTTTCTCATTTCTTCAAATTATTCAGAATTTGATTTTAGCAAAAAGCATGTAGCACTCCTGTGTAGATGAACCTAATTAATGTTGTGAACAATGTAAGATAGTACTTAAATTAATTTTATTACCCAAAAAGTACTCAAATCAAAATTTTGAGAATAGCAGAAATATAAAATTTTTTAATTTTAAAAATTCATTCTGTTTCAGAATTAGGGCTAATTGTTGTTTTTCAGTGTAAGAAGTCAGTGAAAAAAAAAATTATAAGTTTCAGTCAACTCTGATATATGAATTAGTAAAAGCTCCTTTGTCCATAGTCATCTAAGCTGAATTTAAGCTGTATCCATAATGACTCATATGCTTGCTCTTGGCCTGCTGCAGGTGACTCACAGCCTATGTGATACAGCAAGATGGAACTATTTTATATATACTGCAAAATTTTTAGGAGTTTGCTAGTAGAAATCTTGGGCACCAGAGTTTTGCTGTACCCTAAGTTTAAGCATAGTAGCAGAAAGTCCAGGTCCTACACCTCAAGAGAAATTTTGCTGGCTTAACATATAAATTTATTTATCTTGTGCCTTTAAAGACCTGATCAGAACTGCATTTGGACAACCCTGTTTTTAATCAGCTTCTCTTTTTTTCCATCAGCAATATTTTGTGACTACTACAACCCTCGTGATGAGTGTGAGTGGCACTATGAACCTTGTGGCAGTAACATCACAACCTGCAGGATGATTAATAATGTCAGCACCAACTTTACAGTACCATACCTGGAAGGTAATAAATTCCTTGCCATTTTTGTATTCTGTTTTGTATAACTTTGTGTACCTTTTAATGAGTATGGAATAATCAGTCAGCTTGATGAGATGTTCCTAAATCTGCTATTGAATTTGTCTCCAGTCTTACATAAATGTTTCCTATCATGGAATTTATTATTTATTAACATCAGTGGGTGATAGTTAAAATGCTGTCAAGCCATAAAACTGGGTCTCTGCTTGGGTAATATCCTCATACATGCAAGATTATTACACCATGGTTATTTTTTCCCTTCTTAAGGTATTTCAGGGAAGGAAAAATCTTTTATATGGCAAAGAAGCAAGTTACTGATAATTGGGTTTTTTTAACCTTATATATGCATCAACTTATAACCTTATTTATGCATCAGATCATCTTGATTTTACTGGATTAATACGCAGCATTCTCCTTCCTTTACCCTGGAAAATATCTTTGATATCAGACACACGGATGCTGCTGTATATTGGATTCTTATCGGAGATTCTATTTCATTTGTAGATGCCATATTAGTAGGTGAAAGTTCTTGTGCTTGACACCTGAAAAGGAATTTCATGTTATAGTGACTGCAATAATCCAAGAATGTGAATGACTTTACAAATGTCTTCTGTTTTACCACATGGTAAAGCTGGAGAAAACAGTCACATTTTTGGCTACACAGTCTTTTGGTCTGGACTGGAAGCACTTATCTCCTGTTTAGGGATTGAAAATAAATGCCTCAAGCTTGACTTTGCTTTGAACTGCTAGTAAAAAAATGAAAAAAAAAAAAAGAAACCACAAAACAAAACCCAAGGGAAAAAAACAAACCAAAACAAAAAACCCCCCCAAAATTCCTAACCAAAATATTTTTTAAAAATCAGCAAACCTCTGTTTTAAAATAGATTGTCTTAGATTATTAGAAAGATTTGGAAAGTGTCAGAAGGCAGATTATTATATAGCCAATTATCTTTCTAAATTATTTTTGTTGTTTATCTTCAATAGAAATGTAGAGCATGTCCTACTTTTGTTAGGACATATTTATTACAGTCTGGCAGTGTAATGTGACTTTAAGTATCAGTTCATTACACAGTACTTCAGTTTAAATACTATGTAGAACTCCAGTGTAGTATAAAGAGGATTTCATAAGAGTTTATTTGGAGGCAGGACACATTTAATATTTTTTGAAGTGTATTTATATGAAAAATGCAATGAGAATTGACAGTCAATTAATCCCTTGCAGTGGAGTTTGGATTACTGACCAAGGGTATGGAAAAGTGCAGATAAATTATCAGTTTGAGGTGGAGATACCTGGTCTGTTACAGGCACGTAAACAAGTGCTAATGTTCCAATAAATGTATTAAAATAAATGTTTGTTAGTGAATTTGCTTCCATATTCCTCACAAAAGTATTGTTGATGTAGTGATCTATAGAAAAACTGGGATGTTTCTTTGTCTTAAACTTACTAACTGCCCATAGAAATGAATATAAATTAGGGGTTTCTCCAAGATGTTGAAATAGGTAGTTAAAAATAGCTTCCCTAGTTTTCATTACAAAACCCTGGCTCAATCCTCCTCACCCCAGTATTTTCAATGAAAACTGTTTAAGTCTTTTGGAAAGACTAATTGTTCAAGTATTGATTTGAATCGTTTTTGATTTCTTTCACTATGCTTGATTCACTGAGAATCATTTACCTTCAGAAGGTAGCCTATCATTGAGTTGACTTCTTATACTTTTTCTTCTTCTTGTATACTGGTTTACTTGTCATCACCAGGCTGCTACCCCAGATGTCCTAAGGACAAGCCTATTTATAATGAAGAGACAAATGAATGTGTGCCTGAAGATCAGTGCTGGTGTTACATCGATGGAATTCAAGTTCCCCCTGGGCATGAAATACCCACAGAAGAAAACTGTACAATATGGTATATAAAAATTACAAAAACTCTCGCAGTAATTCAGGAAATAATTTATATATGCTAAGTCCCTCATTTACTTTACTGGGCTTCAAGCAAATAGAGATGAAACTTCAGCTGAAGAGCTGGTATATTCTCGCATTTCATAATTTTCCATAACCATCCAGATTTCTGGTTGGTAGCCTTGTTATAATAAGTATGTTACCAAATTCATTATTTATACTCTTTGAAGTGATATAAATATCATAATGACATGAAACCTGGCTGAGTCTCTAAAACAACCTTTTGATTCTTCATGGCTCTGGGAAGAGAGGGACTACTCTGCTTTTGCATTCTCACTTAAAACTGGACTTCTGAAATCACTATAATCTGAAATACTCTATTCTAGCCCTGAAAGAGATACTTGAGTCCTAACAGCTCAGTCATAGAGCCTTGCTAATGATAGCACTTATACCACTGGCTCCACATGGTGACCCTTATCTAGCTGTAAGTTCACTGCTCTGAAAAACAGTTGTTATTGTACTGTTGGAACTTGCAACACAATGTGTTTCATGATAGTTTTAAAATGTTGTACTTAAAGAATGAAAGTTTGAATGAAACAAGATAGACAATACTAGAGAATATTGTATCCAGAAAAATACACAGTAGTGGGAATGAAGATCAAGCAAGAAATTTCTGTGTTTCTGTGCTCTTGGCTCTGCTAACAGCTGTCATAAAACATCAACAACATTTTAATTTTTTAAAATTTTTCTTTTAGTGTCTGTGGCCCCTCAGGATCCATACAATGTAAACCAGTTCCAGGTAAATAATGTTTGGGGTTTTCTACAAACAATAATTTAAAAATGCATAGAACTGCTAGGTCTAACTCTGCAAAAGAGTTAGTATTGCTTTAGAATAATTCTCTCCAGTGCCAGTGAAAGTTCTGAACAAAGAAAATCGGGCAACACTTTTGTTGAATCTTGCTGTTAGTACTTCTTGTTCAACCTTTATCTCATGTTCCTTCATGTTTTCTGCCCATGTCCTGTATTTAAACTAATGGATTTCACTACAAGAGTTTGCACTTCCTGAATATGTAGTTATTATGGAAAACTGTCAGATAGTAAATTACAATTATTATTTCTCTCAGAACCTTAAAACTTAGTTTCTAAGTTGGTTCCTCCAAATGTTTTATGCAGGACTTGATTAAATATGTTCTCATGTTGCTTTAAATGTAAAGATAAATTAGCACAATATATTAGATCTAAGCTCCAGGTGCAGCTCTGAAAAAGCATGCATAACTCATGTAAATGGTCTCTTTTCCATAAGTATTTTGCCTTTGCCTCTTACCCGGTCGTAGAAAAATTGCACAGTAAAGCTCTTTCTTGCAGGGTGTCCTTGTGTCATCAATGGAACGAGTTATCAAGTGGGTCAGACTGTGGCACAAGTACAGGATGGTGACATATGTATAACATACATTTGTGCAGAAAATGGTTCTGTGGTTCCAGATAAAATCTACCCTTGTCCAACATCTTCTTCACCTACAGTCCTTTCAACCTCATTTCCTACCAGTACTCTTACCACCACAGGTAAATCTTCAACAGAGATGTGATTTAAAAATTGTTTTCTTAAAGAAAAGTATTTTAAATATTGAATGTATAAGTATATGGGATTATAGATGACACAGAGCAATGCTTATGACACAGATAGAGCAACACAATTTTATCACACTACAGTAAGAATGATTTTAACATTTTGAGTTTATTTCTTATAGAAGAAATTGTAACTATAAATGTACAGGGTGCCTTCCTAATTCTGACAAAAATGTTAGCATCTCAATATCCTAATGGGGTAGTAGAAATTTTCTCAGTAGTGTCAGCAAAGAATTATAATTAGGATATTTAAACATACTATTATATTTTTTGAAAGCTTGAAACTGATGGAGTAATCTCTTTTTGTTCTGTTTCAGTTACCACTACAAGCCATCCAGTGACTACAAGTAAGTTTTAAAATATCAAAGTTAAAAAATGTCAAAGAAATATTTAAAGGAAGAGTACAATAAATACAATCACTACAGAAAAATATATTTAAAATAAATAATTTTTTATAATTCCAAAAGTGTTATTGGTATAGACAGAAGAAGAACCTTTAAATGTGTCAGTTTGGTGATTTTATTTTGATGCAAAACTTCCAGTTTAAAACCCTGGTAATATAGAACCAATTTTAAAACTCTTTTCTTTGGAAAGATGACAAATTGCAATGCATTCCTCTAGTCCTTAATGGAAAAAAATAAAAAATTGATCTTCTCAGAATAGTCTCTGTAAACTCAGATGTGAAATCTCTGTCTTCTCTTGCAGCTCCATGCTTTGGATTAATCTGTGATTGGACTGAGTGGTTTGATGTTAGTAATCCTGAAGAAGATGGTGGTGACTATGAAACATACGATGAAATAAGAAAACATGGATACAAAATATGTGAAGCTCCTGAAAAAATTGAATGCAGGGCAGAGGATAAACCTGATGTGAGCTTAGAGGAACTTGGTCAGAAAGTGCAGTGTGATGTTTCGTATGGACTAATATGTAAAAATGAGGAGCAAGATGTAACTATGTGGCAACTTTGCTACAATTATGAAATCAGGGTAAACTGTTGTGAGTGGCAAGAAATTCCCTGTGAGATTACACCTACACCTAGTACACCACAAACTGCAACTTCAACCACCACCAAGACAACAGTACCTCTCACCACTACATCCAGGATTCCCACAGAAATTACCACCTCGCCCACACACATCGCTTCAACCACAAGTGAACTAATACCATCAGTCTCCACTCCAGTAACTTCAACATCTCCAGGTATTTAACAGAAAAATACTCTCTGATTTTACCTTGCCATTGGAGAATTAAAGGCCTGTTGACTACTAAAGGCATGTAACCTTTATAGCACATGTTGTGCTGCAAGGAAGTCTTATGCAGTTTTGGGTGTTCTATATTTCTACTGGAGACAACATTCCTGGAATGACCGGTTGTGTGAGATAAGAGGAGGCCATGTTTCAGGCTGCCATCACTAGAGGCATTATCTGTGTGGGGCTGTGTAGAATTGCTTCATCAGGCTGACATTGCAGCACAGGGAAATGCCATGATAACCAGGCAGGAACATATTCCTGGGTATACTTCCTTCCCTAACCACAGCTTCCCTTCTCAGCTCTTACTCCATGAGTTAGTAAGGTCTTTATGTAATGAGGCAGATACAGAAAGCCCCATCAAGATCCAAAGCACTGCTTTACCCAATCTCTTGAATATCAGATGGTCTTTCTGATTTTGTGAGAATTATCTTCCAGGACCATCCCTAGTCTCTTCGCTAGGAGGAGGAGGGCCATGACCCTGTCTGTGCATAGATTTCAAGGAATCTGCTTCCTGGGGCCAGAAAGGAAGGGCTACTGATAGAGGGCTTTCATGTGCCAAGAGTGGGCTGACCTCTTTCCATCTGTGGCAGCTGCCTAACGTGCAATTTCTGTTCAGAGCATATGGAGTCCCACTCATGCTTCTTGTGCCTTTGTCTGTTTTCTCTGTGCCTGCTGTTTCTAACAGGCCCAGGTTCATCGACACCGAGCACGGCATCCCCTTCAACAAAATCAACAACCACTCCCACTGCAAGACCAGAGGAGACTTCCACCAGCACTGCCAGCACCACGGTGCCCCCCATCAGCACCACCAGCAGCAGCACCCCGGGGACATTCTCAAATTTTCCTGGATCACCAACACCCGCCCCAACTACTTCAAGCACATCCACGCCCACACCAACATTCACCACCACTGTACCACCTCCAGGTACTTCTCTGATCGGGGCTCTTATATGTTCCTTTAGCTTGAGAGTAATGGAGATCCTTGAACACCTGCATTTGTGCATCCATATGGGATCAGGGATGGGTGTAACTGCTCGGTGTCTCCTGAAACATCCTGTGCCCAGAGCTGACCCTTGGGCCGGCTGCTTCAGAAGTATTGAGGATTCAGGGGTCCTTGGGATAGAAGGTCTTGGCTTCCCTGATTGTACAGGGTTTCGAGGAGGTATTTCATCCTGGTGCCTGGCTTAGACAAATGCAGAACTGGTGGGAAATCTTGCTTTTGCTGCTGTTAGACTTCATTCCGGAGGCTGCTAAGAATTTAGTCCTTATACTTGTGTTGTGCAAGTGAATGGGGCTTCGTTTTGTGGCAATGTAAATTCAGGCATTGTTTTGGCAACAGCTGTGCAGACTTTCTACTCATTCTCCTACTCCTTTTCCCTGTCAGTGCTAAGGCTTGAAAGTAGTTATAGAGGTAGGAAGGAAGGATTCTCCTGACAGGCTTTTGGGAAAGTTTCACTCTGCACACTGCCACTTGATGTGAACTGCAGTCTTTGGTTGATGAGATCCACTATTAGTTGGGAAGTCCTTCATCAGTTTGACATCACACCACAGGAAAATCACATGACAATCAGGCACGAAGATATTCCTGTGCATATTTCCATCCTTGACCACAGCTTCCACTCACAGCTCTAACTCCATGTGATGGGAAGGTGTTCTAGGTAATGAGGCAGAGATAGAATTCCCAAGGCAGACTGAAATCATTATACCTCCTTGTCACTTATTGGCTGGTCTTTCTGATTTTCTGAGAAACACCTTCCAGCACCATTCTAATCTCTTTGCTAATAAAGGACAGCCATGACCCTATCCATAAATGGATTTCAAAGGAATCTGCTTCCTGGGGCCAGAAAGGAAGGGCTACTGATAGAGGCCTTTCATGTGCCAAGTGTAGGCTTACTACTATAGGTCTGTGGCAGCTACCTAACATGCAATTTCTGTTCAGAGCATATGGAGTCCCACTCATGCATCTTGTGCCTTTGTCTGTTTTCTCTGTGCCTGCTGTTTTGAACAGGCCCAGGTTCATCGACACCGAGCACGGCATCCCCTTCAACAAAATCAACAGCCACTCCCACTGCAAGACCAGAGGAGACTTCCACCAGCACTGCCAGCACCACGGTGCCCCCCATCAGCACCACCAGCAGCAGCACTCCAGGGACAACCACAACTGTTCCTGGATTACCGACATCCTCTCCAACTCCT